TTTCAACCACCACCAATAATTCAATCGTTTGGGTAAACCTTTCTCTCTGGACTGTTAAATCCCCTTGTATGAGTCTTTTCATGACATTAGCATAGAACTGCAAGTCTGATCCCTTTGAGCTTAATTCTTTCAAAACTCCAAATTTGTATCTTTCCTTTACCTTCAAAATCTCAACCTGAGGGTTCCCTCACCTTCAAATCTCAAATTTGAAAGCCCATCCTTGCAATTTGAATAACATGGGTCATTACATTAATCAAGAGTTTTATTTATGGCTCGTGGCTCTAAAAATATAATTAACTATGAGGAATTGCCCTTGTAGGGACACTAGACCTCAGAATAAAATAAGCATTATCTTGCACTCGTGAGATAAAGAAAAAATCTTAGTTCTATAGATCCACAAAGATTTTCATCATCCAAATGATTAGGCGCATTTCAAGGTAGTATTTCCTCACATCGGGGAGGTATATATTTTTTTTAAATGTTGTGTTTGATCATTTAAATAGAAGTTTTTTAAAGTTCTATGGTGGACACATCAACACAAAAATCCCCATCAATAATAACAGAGAAAGATCCGAGCTCAGAACAAAGAGAAAAATGACCTTGCATCAATATTAACATATGATGAATAACCAAATACTCTTATGTGAGATAAATTTACCTCTTTGTTACTCTTAATTTTTTTTTCAAGTAAGCCTTCATTCAATGGTATTGAGAAACCACAATTTATCAAATAAGCTACAATATTTACAACTTCTGCCCAAGTACACTTTCATTGAGTGTTGCTTAAATGAATTTTGGTACAATTTATGAGAATATTTGAATCAAAATACTATGATGAACAGAGATATTACTTTCAATGAAATGAAAATGTACAATAACATAAACAGAATTCGAGATTATCCATCACTTACTTTTGAAGATTTCTCTCAATATGTTGAGATAGAAGGAAAAAATAATCAAAAATTTTGAGAAAACAAAAATGCTCAAATCTAATGAAGCACAAAAAAACATCTCAAACACTTACTACATAAATAAAAAATGTCCACCAAAATCATTCAGCCGATATAGAGATTCTCCTTTATATTATTTATTATTATTATTGACTAATGATAGTGAACCAAATTGTTATGAAGAGCCAAACAACTTAAAAAATTGAGGGTTTATTATGGATGATGAGCTGCAATCACTAGGGTCAAGTCAGACATCAAATTTAACATAATTGTCAAATGGCAAAAAGACACTGCACAACAAGTAATTTTCTATATAAAAAAAGAGTCGGATGATAGCAAACTCTAAAAGGTGAGGCTTATTGTAAAGGGGTTTCAAAAAAAAGAAATGAGTGGACTAATTAGAGATATTTTCCCCTATAGTAAAAATGACAACTATTAAAGTTGTGTTGAGCTTAATAGAAGATGAAGAACTACATATAGAATAAACGGATGTGAAGAGGCTTCATACATGTTGACTTAGAAGATGAATTATATATGATACAGTCACATGGATATGAAACTCCAAAAAAAGAAGACAATGTCTGCAGATACAAGAAGGGCCTTTAAGGTTTGAAATATGTCTCAAAACAGTGGTACAAAAGATTTTAAAGGTTTATATCGAATAACGGATACCTGAAGTGTCAAGCAAATCATTATTGTTTCATAAAACATTTTTATTTTTATTATTATATTATGCTTCTTTTGTATGTGAATAACATATTGATTGCAAGAGCAGAAGGAAAAAGATCAGAGACTTGATGGTACAACTATCTAAGAAGTTTGAGATGAAGGATTCAATTTCAACCGAGAATAACCTCGGGATGAGAATTAGCAGAGACAAGAATGCAGGAACATTAAATTCATCTCAGGCAAAATACGTTGAAAAGGACTTACACAAATTCAGCATGAGTGAAACAAAACCAATTTACATCTTATATAATCACTATAAACTATCTAAAGAACAATTGCCCAGGTCTGAAGTAGAACATTACAAACGAAAAAAAGCTTTTATGTTTCAGTTCTTGGAAGATTGATGTATGTGATGATCTATACAAATCCAGATATTACACATGTAGCAGAGTGGTCAACAAGTACGTGGGTAATTCAGGCACACATCATTGGAAAGCGACGAAATGAACTTTCATATATATGAGAGGAACAATCAACAATGCACTTTATTTTAGAAGTGTGGGAATTAATCTACGGGTATATTTAGATTAAGATCTAGTAGAAGATATTAATGATAAAAGTACAGTAAAATACATACTCACATAGAAGACACAAAGATGAGTTGAGTTTCCAGGTTACAAAAAATAATTACACTTTTTACCACATAAATTGAGTACATAGATATCACTAAGGCTAGCAATGAGATGATGTGGTTGTAGGGCTTCATGACAAAATTTAACGAGAAATAAAGGATTGGAAATCTCTATATTGATTGTATAAGTGTTATTCATCAAACAGAGGATGATACATTTCATGTCAATGCAAATCACATATAGCTAAGGTATCACTTCATTCATTCACTCCTAAAAGATGATTAGTTTTCTTTGGAGAAGATACGCAACTCAGTAACGTTTAGATATATTAACTAAAGTTGTTACAACTGAAAATTTGAAGCTATGTTTGCCTTCAGTTGAAATTCAAAAAGGGAGAGATTGAGAGTTGAGTCACGCTACAATTCATTACTATGAAGAGTACAAATTAGAGGAGAGAAATTGATTACAATCAATCTCCAAGTTAGGTATTGTTGCGTGAAGCTTGATTGTGTAAAGGAGGGGGGCCCAAGCTCCTAGTTGGGCATCCCAGCACGTGGTTGGGCGCCCCAACACGTGATTAATTCATAATTCTTGATTTGTACCTTTTCCAAGCTCATCGCACTTAAAAAAATAGTATATTCATATTTTTCACATAAAAATTAATCAAATCATACCAACCAACATAAGGCAAATAAAATTTGTTTAAGGAAGTTAAGTTGTTCAATCTTTTTGAGAAATGAATCAACATACTTGACCAAATCAAAAGATGGAAACAAAAAAGTGAAAAAAGCAAAAAAAATGAATTGCAAAAGAGCCATTTTAAATTTGATCGCAGGATGATCTCCTTGGATATTTATGTCCCCTGTTGGATTAAGCATATAATGATATAAAGTGTCCAAAATTTATGTATCACTTATACAATAAAGTAATTAAACTAATAAGAAATCATATAATTATCAATATATGCTTCTAAAATAAAAACAAAAAGTTCTACTTGACAAGCAAGAAGCCAAGCTACATATTTCAAAAGCATAATCCGAAGCAAGATTTACAAGTCACTTAAACTCAAAAATCCTTCTAAGGAAAGTAAATTTGATTTTACAACACCTAAGAGAGAAGCTCATGCATTAAGATAAGAGGGCTTGCCATACTTTGTAATTTTTCAAACTCTCACCCATCGAGCTTTGTAATTGTCCGAACTCTCGCCCATCAAGATATTGTTTGTTTGGCCCGGTGGTCTCACGGTTTTGTCCCATTGAAGTAACTTCCTAAGTGGTCACCCATCTTGAGATTGCTCCGGCACAAGTTTATTTAATTTTGGAGTTTCTAATGAAATTACAATCATTACACCAAATTGTGTCTGGATGTTTAAGAGTTCAATTTCATCCTAATTAAAAAGTTTTACAATCTCCCCCACTCAAGTAACTATTTCCTCACCAATTTTCTTAGCTTGCAATCATCCACTAAGCATATAGAATTCTAGAACCCCGACAAATTCAAGAGGTAACTACCACCATATAACACTGTCAAATCTAAGGTTCAAGATGTGGCACCCATAGCGCACCACTTTGTTATGTAAGACACTTAATTCTCATCCTCAAACTGGTGATGCTCTGATACGATTTAAAATAGTCCAAACTCTCACTCATCAAGATATTATTCGCTTTGGCATAGTGTCCTCAAGATTTTGTCCCATTAGTGTAACTTCCCAAGAGGTCACTCATCCTGAGATTGCTTCAACAGAAGCATGCTTAAAATCGGAATTTCATCAGAAATTTTTAAGAATTAGGCTTCATACTACATAAGGGGTTTCACATACTTTTCATAAGTGAATTTTGTATAATTTTGATTAAGGGATAAGCCAACATGGACTATATGAGTTATGTATAAACCAATTCAAGGATAAGCACGTAAAAAATATTTCAATTTAAGGAATTATTACAATTCACAACATAATAACAAACAATAATGATAAAAAAATAAATCGCTTATGACACTTGAGCCTAAATTAAACACATTCTTGTCAATCATTCATGGCACCAATCTGGCTAAAAGATTTAGATGTCCTTTATGGCAATGTAGTGTTTATTTTATTCTTTAGAAAGCATAAGGGTAGTTATTTTAACATTTCTTGTATTCATAAGCAAAATTATCTTGTAACATTTTCGCGCTTCTTGTTTGGAAAAAAATCACATTGCTTGTTATACTAACATTATATGAGTGTCTCTTAGTGACATTACAGTGCAATTAATTGAGAGGCATGTTACTTATTCACTTTGCAGCATAATTGACAGCTACATAGAGATGAACAGTGTCATCAATGAACTAATACCTCCCATTATTAACAAAACTACCTCAAACAAGGACGACTTCATTTGAAAAGACATGTTCAGTGCGACCTACGTCAAACATCAATATAAGATAAATGCTTTAGTCAGTCATCCCTTGAGCTCATATAACTATTTCACACAGCCATCTAAAGCATTTGTGCAATTGTGTGACTTTTCGGCAGGTCATGACATACTTAATGACACAAGAAACATGCCCGCAATTTAACAACTTGATATATTTCTCATAAGGCATTATATATGCACATTCTTATAAATAATTGCGTGAATTCCTTTAACACCCAAACACTCAGCAATCAGCAAACCATGCGCAGCATGATCCATGCAGGTTTCCACAAAGTATGACTTAATGAATTAATATTATATGTTCAAGCAATTAGTAGGCATTATAGTAATCTTACATTACTGCTGAGTAGGAGTTTCACAAAATTTTGTGTGAGCTGCCCAAGGGATTTCTCCTTTCTTTCTGCAACTGCAAGAATAATAGATGAAGTGAATGATAAGAGCAGACAACATCTAGGAGCATGCCCTATAAGTATCTTCCACTTTCATCATCATAAACATGCATAATGTATAATTCAATTTAGACAAATAAAACTAAACCCTTGATAAAAAAACATATATACGTGAAGGCATACCACATTTAGACTTCGCAGCAGTATCATTTGTACAGAACCTTCCTTCCCCGTAATCATCATTGTGATCAAAAGATTTGTCATCTTCTTCATCGTCTGAAACCTTCAATTTTGCAATAAAAATTCGAAGTGATCAATAAGCTAGAAAACATTGATTACAAAACGCTTGGTAATTGTAACCCCAAAAAAAATAATAAAAAAAAAACAATGACATACTTTTGCTGAAGAGAATTCCAAAGAAGATGCATTATGCTCTTTAGCAGTCCCTTCCTAATGTACGTACAGAAAAAAAACAATTTTTACGTGAATTCAAAAAAAAACTTAGTCAATGAATTACACTCAGCAATTAACACATTGGATTCAAGAACCTTGAGTTGTTCAAGGGTAATAGGTATCCCTTTCAACCCTATCCACAAATATCTATTCTTAGCCTTCCTCGTCAAAACCTGTAAAAAAAAAAAAATCTTAATAAAGCTCTAATTCTAACTTCAGGCAATTGGAGCTGAAATCAACGACACGAGAGAATAAAAATATAACTTGTTCGCCTAGCATAAAGGAAAATGATCGAGAGGGAAAATCTCACCCCAATGCTCTCCATCACATTCACAATATCGTAAATCCTCCTCCTTTCAACCCCCAGCTTCATGGCGGCATCATCCAAGCACACAGTTTCCACATCGTCTTTGTTGTAAAGAGATACAAAACTAGCCAACAATAGAAGCAAAAGTTCATCAATTAATAAGAAAGAGATTAGATCCTACAATCGGACATGGAGATTGAGAAGAAAATAGATTGAAGGATCGGTCCATTTACTTAGAGCAGAGAAGACCCAAAGATTTCTGCTTCCGGCTGTAGGCATGGTGCCTACTGCCAGAATCGCTCTTCTCTGCCATGGATTTGCAGGAACTTGGGGAGAGAGAAGGAATGGAGAAGGAAAAAGTGGATTTTAATGAATCGGAA